CATGCTATGAAGGAGAGGCATTGTATGTCCCCACTTAATATATACCGAGTGTCTGCATTCTAAATGTATATATATATATATATATATATTTGAAACCATACTGCTTCTGTTGTTATAGAGTTATAAAATTATACAAAATTATAAGACATATTTTGAACATTATCTTTAAAATTCAGTATTTTGAAACTTTGAAAGTTGTTTGTAAGCTGTCAAGAATTATGGAGTATGAGCTAAAATTCTTTGCTATGTAAAGTAAATGTTTGTGGGAAAATGTAAAATAAAAACAAGTTGTAATGAAAAAGAAAAACAAAAGTTTTATCAAAACATTTCCCTGTTCATTCATTTACATGTCTGTGACTGCTTTCGCACTACAGTGGCAGAATTGAGTAGTTGCCAAAGAGACCACCATATAATCCTGAATTCTTAAAGTATTTACTATCTGGCATTTTACAGAAACAGAAAAGATGTGCCAACCCCGACTCTACACAGTCATGTCAGTCACCAATACAGAGGCTGGAGCTATAACTATGTTCACCTCTCTGACTTCTAGTGGGGACTTCTTTCCTGGCTTTTCTGGCTTATGAGTGAAGATTTTTAAGCTGGTGGTTCATGGAGATCTGAGAGACACAGTGATCTTGTCTCTAGCTCCAACCCCAGATAAGATGTTAATTGTGTCTCTCATGTCTCCATTTGTATCTTCTGTTCCTCCCATCCAACTTCCTATTCCCATGCCTCTTCCAGCTCTGACTTATAGATCTGTCTTTGCCTTTTCCCAAGAAGAGTAAGAAATGACAGAGGCCTGAGTGAGTTTGCAGTTCCTTGACAGCTAATGATTCAGAGCATCATGTTATGTGCCTATCTGTTATCCATATATCCTTTTTGGTGAAACGTCTCTCTATATCCTTAGCTCATTTTCTAACGAATTAAAAAAAATATTGAGTTTTGAGAGTTCCTTATACAAGTAGTAACGAATTAAAAAAAATATTGAGTTTTGAGTTTTCCTTATACAAGGGGTGGTCAAGGTGGCTGGATCCTACGTGGCTGACTTTGGGAGTTGTTTCCTGAACCTGGTGGCTTGAAAAATATGCTCTGTGTGTGTGTGCCTCAAATCCCAAAAGGATAATGGAGGAGAAGGGACTGTGGTGTGGCCATCATCCCTGAGGCGGGGTGCTATCTCATTCTCTCTCTCTCTCTCTGTCTCTCTCCAGCGAGAGCATGTGCCCTATAGCAAAACTGGAACAACAAAAAAGAAAAGAACATTTTCAACACCCCAAATAGAATTGCCCCACTTTTTAATCCACTCTCCCCACTTCTACTACAAGCAACTACAAAATTTCTAGGGACCAGTAGATGGCAAAATGGTTATGTCATTGGGCTCCCACGTAGGGGACCATGGTTCAAGTCCCAGATCTGGTGACTTAAATCTCATGTTGTGTGTGTGTGTGTGTGTTTGTGTGTGTCCAAAATCCCTAAAGGAGAATGAAGAATAAGGGATTGTGGCATGACCATTCCCCGTGGGGAGGGTGATTTCCCACTTTCTGTCTCTGTCTCTCTCTCTCTCTGGTGAGCACACTTGCCAGATAGCAAAAATCTCTCAAAAAATTTTACTTTCTGTTTGTATAGATTTGTGTATTCTGGATATTTCATATAAATGGAATCATACAATATATGACCTTTCACATATGGCTTATTTCACTTAGCATAATGATATTTTCAAGGTTTATCTATATATCGGGAACCAGCAGTTAGTGTAATGGCTAGGTCGCTGGACTCCCGCGTAATCGACTGCGGTTCAAGTCCTGGACCCGGTGGCTTAAAACTCATGCCGGGCGTGTGTGCGTGCGTGCCCAAGATCCCGAGAGGAGAATGGAGGAGACGGGATTGCGGTGTGGCCATCCCCCCTGGGGGGTGATTTTTTGCTTTCTGTCTCTATGTCTCTCTCTGTCTGTCTGGCGAGCGCACACGCCCTATAGTGAAAACCTCTCAAAAAAAGAAAAAAGAAAAAAAAAGGTTTATCTATATATGTTATACAATTTATCAGTACTTTATTCCTTTTCCTGGCTGAATATTCCATTGTGTATATATACCACATTTTGATTATCCATTTTACCAATTTGAGTAAAATGTAACATTCTTACCTCTCTTTACATTCCCTTTATTCCCCCTTTTATAATTTTAAATCTTAAACCTTTAATATCGTCTCTGCATATGTGGAAAATCACATCGATGCTAATAGTTTTGCTTCAACTATCAAGTACCAGTTAGAAAACCCAACAAGAGAACTAAAATCTATTTTCTTTCCCTCAGTTTTACCCCTTCTATTGTTCTGTCTTCATTCCTGATGTACCAGAACTCTTTCTTTTATCATTGCCTTTCTGTTACAAAGCTTTCTTTTAGCCATTTTTTTCAAGGTAGGCCTGCTGGTAACAGATTATTAGTTTTGCATCATCTGGGAATGTCTTGCTCTCCCCTTCATTCCTAAAGGACATTTCTACTGGTTAAAGAATTGTATGTCTCTGCTCTAATATACGGAAAGTCTGCACTCTATGGCAAAAACTGGATGATTGGAAGGTATAATAGCAGGGAGGCCGACTGTAGATCCTAGAAACAATATGGGAGGGGGTGGGGAAAGGGGGTGGGAGGCAGGGGATGGGGAACAAAATTGAACAGGAACAAAATTGAACAGAAACGAAACTGCAGAGTTATCTGTTGATGATAATGTACATGGTAAGAATTTAGGACTTGATGAATATGTACTGTATTCACGCCAGGAAAAATCATTTTGTATGCCGTAAAGATGTACAATGATTATTATACACATTTTTTAAAAGGAAAGAAAAGAATTTTACTGGTTAAAGAATGACACCAAGGATCCTCTGCCACTCGCTTCTTGCCCGTTATGTTTTCTGATGAGAAATTTACTGTCATTTGAATGATTTTTTTTCCCCATGGATATAAAGGGTTGTTTCTCTCTCCTTGCTTTTAAGAATTCTTTAATTCTCAGAAGTTTGGTTTAGACATGTCTCGTCATCATTGGTTGTTGTTGTTTTAGGTTTTTCCTGTTTATGGTTTGCTCAGCCTCTTAAATCTGTAGGTTTCTTTCTTTCTTTCTTTTTTTTTTTTCTGCCAAAGATGGCAAATCTCAGACATTATTTCTTTGAATACTTTTTCAGCCCTCCGCTCTCCTTTCCTTTCTGGATTTTGATGACACAAATGATAAAATTTTGGTTTCTATGGCCCTGAGGCTCTAGTCATGGTTTTTCAGTCTATTTTTTCCTCTGTTGTTCACATTTGGTATATTTTATTGTTTTATCTTCAGGTTCACTGATTCTTTTCTAGAAATATTTATTTTATTTTATTTATTTATTATCATTTTTTAATTTGACCAGACTGAGACAGAGAGAGAGAGAGAGAGTGAAAGTGAGAAAGCAAGCTGCCTAAGTCGGACTTGAACCATGGTCGGCCATGTGGGAGTCCAGTACCCACCACACCACCTGCCGGCCCCAGGGTCACTGATTCTTTTTAATTAATTAATTTATTTTTAGAGAGGTTTTTGCTAAGGGGTACAAGTGTTCATCAGAAAGACAGAGACAGACAGACAGAAAGCAAGAAATCACCCCCCCCCCCAGGGGATGGCTACGCTGCAATCCCTTCTCCTCCATTCTCCTCTAGGGATCTTGGGCATGCACGCACACGCACCTGGCGTGAGTTTAGGCAACCAGGTCCGGGACTTGAACCACAGTCCCTACATGGGAGTCCAGCTACATAGCCATTACACTAACTGCTGGTCCCAGTTCACTGATTCTTACTGTCCTCTCCATTCTGCCTTTTTTTCTTTTAATATTTATTTATTTATTTCCATTTGTTGCTATTATCATTTTTAAATTTTGACCAGAGAGAGAGAGAAAGGGAAAGCAAGAAAGTAAGCCTCCAGGTCCGGGACTCGAACTGTGGTCAGCCACATGGGAATCCAGCACTCTTAACCACCACGCCACCTGGCCCCATTTCCATTCTGCCTTTGAGCCCATTCACTGAGTTTTTGAATTCAGTTATTGTATCTTTCTGTTTTGCAATTTCTCTTTGGAAACAGAAGATATACTTCTGTTTCTTTGTCTAGATTTTCTATTTTTACATTTGTTTCAAGCGTGTTCATAATCGCTCATTGAAGCGTTTTATGATGGCTGATTAAAATTTCTTGTCAGAGAATTTAGACATCTCTGTCATCTTGGTGTTGGGACATGTTGATTGAATTTTTCCTCATTTTTGGTACTATGAGTGATTTTCCATTATATTCTTTACTTTGGGGCAATATGGTATGAAACTCTGTGCTGCTGGCAAAAACGGAGGATTGCCAGGGAGTGGTCAAAGTCCCTGTTCCCCACTTGGCCTCTGTTAATACTCTAGGGAGTACCTCATTACTGCTGGGTAGGAGTGAAAGTTGGTACTCCTACTAGGCTTCTGCTTATACCACCCTGGCTGGGAAGAGGTTAGGGTCTCGTTTGCCCTCTACTGACACCGATGGATCTATGCATAGCTTGGGGGATGTGTTCAGAGGGCAGTCATTTTCCAAGAATCTCCTGGCTTTTCCTTTCTACATTCAGCCAGGATCGAGTACCTTGTTCTGAAGGCCTTGTCTTAATCTGTTTGTGCTGCTATAACAAAACACCTGAGACTGGGTAATGTAGAAACAACAAAAATTTATTTCTTACAACCTCGAGGCTGGGAGGCTCAAGATCAAGGTCAGAGCAGGTCCTGCAGTGCAGCAGTTAAACACTACACAGTGTGGCTGGCCAGAGTTCAAATCCTGGCCCTGGTGACTTGAAAAACACCCAAAGCATGCACACATGTGCCCAGGATCCTGACAGGATCGCTTATTGCTGGTTGCTATATGGGATCTGGCATCTCTTGAACAATGCATTACCACTGTGCCTGCCATGGACTGAATCCTCAAACATTCTTTGAAAGCAAATTTGTTTATGGATAATACAAACGAAATTAGTTAGAGCCTGGGACGTACAATATGATGACCACAAGATTTAATATGTAGCAGAAATGTTTGCCTGTAATTGGTCGATGAAATTTCTGCTTATGAAATTAAGTTATGAATAATGTTTATAACTGGGACCTAATAGATAATAGACATAGTTTAGTCATATACTATTTATTTTTTATTTTTTAAAAATTATTTTATTGGGACCAGCAGTTAGCATAATGGCTATGTTGCTGGACTCCCATGTAGTCAACTGCTGTTTGAGTCCCA